TCTGTTCTCCTTCAACTTAAACCCATTTCCCCTTGTCCTGTCAGTGGACACTCTTGTAAAAAGTCCCTCCCCAGCCTTCCTGTAGGTTCCCTTCAGGTATCGGAAGGCAGCTATTAGGTCTCCCCAAAGTCTTCTCTTTTCAAGGCTGAACAATCCCAGCTCCCGCAACCTGTCCTCGTAGCAGAGGTGCTCCAGCCCCTGGATCATCTTTGTGGCCCTCCTCTGAACACGCTCCAACAAATCTATGTCTCTCTTATGGTGGGGACACCAGAACTGGACGCAGTATTGAAGTGTTATAGTGAGAGAAATTTCTTAAAAAGCAGCCAAGTGCCTTCAGAATAGAGCTGAGCGAGTCAGCAAACCTCCTATTCTTGTTTGTGCATTTTTGAACAAATTTGGCAAAACCCAAATTAAGTGGCAAAGAAAACTAACAGAGCTCCTAATGAAAGTAGATACATAAAGGGAAGTAAAAAGTCTCCATTGCTTCCAAAGGCATGTCTCAAGCCTTACTTGCTCAGCGAAATTCCAGCTAAACTTGATGAGGAATGTATTTGCCTAGATTTTTATTTTATATTACTAAGCAGCTTTAAAATACAAGTTCATATTAAGTATAATTAGACAAAGTTTTCTTTTGGAAAAAAAAAATCTCAGAGTGGCTATGAAAAAAAGCAAAACCAAAATCAATGGCCACTCTTTTTATGCGTTGCTCCTTCTGCCTGTAGGAAGTTTAGGATACAGTGAAATTATCCTGATTATGATTTGATGGGAGAAAATATTTTAGGAAGTAAGGAGTCCCCTCAAATAGCAACCCACCCAGCCCCAGGTAGCAGCTGAGTTCTGCAGAAGGGGTTAGGTGCATGCACAGACAGTGCTGACGACCTGACTCGCAGGCTGTCAGGCTGCATGTGTACTGGGAGTGTGTACGGCTAGTGGCCATCAACCCTGCATCCTGCTTTCAGCTGGGACACAGTTAGTTCTTTTTAGCAGCCAGAAGAGCTCTGTGTTTTGCTTTGAGTTTGGGATTCACTATGAGAAGAATGCTGATAACGCACTGACGTTCATTGTTGGCACTGAGACCTCAAGGACTTTTCAGCTGCCGTGTTCTTGCCAGTGTGCAGGAGCACAACAGGATAGGGGGGAGCATGGCCGGGACAGAGGGTCCACAACTCCCCTTAGGATTTGTACTTAGACTTAGGATTGAGGAATAAACTGGCCAATGAAGCATCATGCCCAGTATAAAAATGAGGGTTGACTGGAAAAAAGGGCCTTTGCTCCTCCGGGAGCTCTCACTCTCGGACTCTGAGAGTGCTCTCTCTCTCTCTTTTTGGGCCTTTTGCTCATCTGGGATTGCGGTGTAGAGACTTATCTGTTTTGGAATTGTTAGACTGGGATGGGATGGGCCTTGGTCACCAGGTGGTGAGCAGTGACACTGTACATCACTTGTTTGTATATATATTTATCATTATACATACATACATATTTATATATTATTATTAGTACTATTGAACTGTTCTTATCTCTACCCACGGAGCTCTAAAAAAACCCTTCAATTCTCTTCCTCAACCCCTGGGGGTGGGGGAGGGTAAGCGAGCAGCTGTGTGGCATTTAGTTGCCAGCTGAACTAAACCACGACACCCTGTCAGTCAGGAGGGGGACATGCAGTGACCAACTAAGAGTATCACAGGTCACTGTGCAAAGCAGTAGCCACCCCTTAGTCATATCCTGGCAGTGATGTGGAAAACTTTAATTTATCAAATCCCTCCCAAAAGCATATATATTGGAATGTTTCCATAGGTATTACTCCAGAAGGGCCGTTCATATTATGCATAGATGCATCAAATAAGTATAAGAACAAAAAGAGAGATCTGTGAGGATCCACATGTATTTATCCATGAAAGGAATGGGTTTGCTTCCTTCAGATTCCAATACAAGTGTCCTCCCTATGTAACAATGTCTTGTTGCAGAAGAGCGAGATGAACGAATTTCCATATTCACCTGAAACAGCCTCTTCCAAAATGAGTTCTGCTTTTTATATAAACTGTCAATCTCTTCTTCAGAACCAGAAGATACATCAAAGCCAAGATATGCAGACATGATCTATCCCAGGGTAAATTTTTGCATTGAAAATATCCTCCCTCATACCTCAGATCAGTATCCTGTTTTACTGGTAAACTTTCATTTCGATCAGTTAATGTATTTGTCATCAATATGCTCCTTTTTTCATTTGTTACAGATTGGCCTGGTTATAATAATTGCACAGACCAAATATTGTATTAGTCACTGTAGAAAAAAAAGTTTACTTTGCAGATGGGTAATACATGGCAAGGTTTAGTCCAAAGTGTTTTATGTTAACACAGAAAAATTATACGCAAATATATGCATGTCACACTTTTTTCTATTTTGTTAGTATTTGGCTTTAGAAGGAATTCTTGCAACTGAAACAGTGCTAAGAATGTCCAACAGATAAAGATTTATTATGCGCATGTGTTGATTTTATGTATATGTATCAATGAAAAACTTTATTCCCTGAAATAATGAAAACTTTCAGCCTCTCTCAGTTATTAATCCTTAAAGCTACGTACTGCTGCTTTCTTTCTTGAGTTTGAAATTTTCAGAAGCAGTCTAGGGGATTTAGACACATATCATCTGTTCATTGTAGAGGCAGACATTTATCTAAATCCTCTACACTATTTTATTTTTTAAAAAATTATTCAGGCTTCCTTTTATCTGCACATTTTCCCTTCATAATGGCATTGTTTAAGCACTGCCTGTGTTAAAAGTGTTACCTCTTGGTCACCAAAGAGGATTAGACAGCTTTATAACAGAGGAACCAAAAGGGTGAAACAGCTAAGAAAGAATTACGCAAGTGTATCGACTGCACTGTATTTTTTTCCAGAAGAGACGGTATCTTCGAAAGCGTGTGAGCTTGCCTGGTGCACTGGCTGCCTCATATATTCTGGGATTTTCCTGGCATTAAAATAATGCTAATTGGGAAAAAAAACACAATTGCTATTGCTATTAATATTAATAGCAACATTATTTATTTTAATGCAGTTTGCTCTTTTTCTCTCTTTTAGTCCATCATAAAGTTCTTCTTGAAAGATTTCAAGTGAAAAAAATAAAAAACTTTTCCAATTCTTCACACAATTACAATTTCTTGGAGGAAGTAAGAAAACTAAAATCTCCCTTAGGAATAACCTCTTCTTTTCAGAGTTTTCTACCTCTTATTTCAGTCATTTTATATCCGGAAGTCTGCAGCAGCGGAAAAGAAAGGTCAAAAGGTGGAAACATCAATGCTTATGTAATCCCCAAAGAGGATTATGCCCCTCACAAAAATGCCTAGTATGACATGTGAAATTAAGGATATTCAATCTGTGTCGGCACAGCACTTGTAATGGAATTGGTGAATCTTTAGAAAAATAGAGCAATACAAGAACAACTGTGCTTTTCCCATGGATAGTAGGGAAAGTTCAAATCGTTTTTTCTAACCTGGCACTTGGCCAAGAGCTCTGCGGACCTTTCCTTCCTCTTGCCACCAAACACTTCTGCCAATTAAAGAATGACAAGTACAGATTTATTAGAAATGGGAGAAGGGGCCCCACTTGGATTTTAGCACTCCTATTACTCCTGGCAGATATGCATGCATTGTTTTCTCATTTGGACCAGGGCTACACCCATTCCCAGATGAAAAAATCACACTGATCGTGTTTCTGTGCCAGTATAACACAATCTGATGTGGTCTACAATATGAGAATAATAAAAATATAATGATTTTCAAGCACACTGTATATGTAGCACTTTTTAGGACAGAAATCACTTGACAGATACTTTTGTTACTCATTTCATATGTCAATGAATGCAACAATCCAAGGCATTTTATAAGTTTGGTGGGCTCAAAAAAAAATCCCATCTCTCAAGACCTGCTGAATGTGCCAATTCAACTTCCAATAAAACTTTAGGGGAAAAAATGGAACCTATAGCCTCAGGGCTAACATTTCAAAATGAATGCCTCATTAAATTGGTATTTATGTATCACATACGAATGCCCAAATGCTTAAAAACCCAACAGGATACCTTCTGAGACCTAACTTTGAAAACTGCATTTCCCCATACATGCATGTTTTCAAAGTAAATGTGAAAAATTCTCACTGAGAGTTAACTTAAAATCAAGGCATTATCTTCATACAATAGGACTAGATAGTTAGTACTTTCACTCAGTCAAACCAGTTTACCATCAGGAAAATGATGAAGGAATTGCCCTGAAAAGCAAACTAGGCTCAACTGTTATCTTGAATTTTACTGATTTGTTCCAAGTTTAGAAATATTTTCAAAATCTAATAAATGAGTTCTCAAATTTTTTCTCAATTAACTGCAAATAATACGACAGAGAAAAATGGATCTGTTCATTAACATTGAAAAGTAGGATGAGCTGGAATAGAGCGTCTTGATTGAGCACTTCCTTGTTTATTGTACATATTTAATCATATTATCGACACATTGTTATCACGTCTTATTTTTAAAAAAAGTAGATGCTAAGATTACTTGTGTTGGTGTCACAGCATTTATGTCTTGCTCTGCTCTTACCTGGTTTCTCTCAAGAGACAGACTGTCAACCAGTTTCTGCAGTCACCAAACAATATGGTTTCATTTGATTGTCACTGGTGGTATTTTTGGCTCATTTTTAATGTCTCTGTCATCCCAGATTCATAAAAATGCTGCTTCTCCTCATTTAGATATTGGTTTTCAGTGGCAATTTTTCTTACTTGACTTGACCAATGAGATTTTCACTCCTGTATGCTGACTTGTCCTATGATATGACTACCTGTATCAATTCAGAGGACTTAAAATACTATGTCAAATTTGACTACAGATAGTGCTGTGAAAACAGAGGATTATCCACTACCAGGAGTATTCAGATACATTTATATCACCAACTCACTGACATCTGTAGGAGTTTTTCCAAACTGAAAAAGAAATACGCATCAGGTTGATATTCCTACCTTCCAACTCCCAGCAGCCAAGTTCTGCAGTGCCCCTGCTGCCCCCTCCAGCGTGTCTGGATTTGAGCACTCAGAAAGAAGTGTGAGGTAGGGTTTGACTATTGAAGGGTGCCACAGCATCTGGATTCCTTTGGGTGGTTCTGCACAGTCTGGGAGAGGTCCTACGCCATCCCACTGTTGGAAAGTACAAATCAGATTGTCAGCAAGGAACAGTGAAATACTTGACAATTGCCTCAGCAGAAGCTATAACATCTATGCCTGTGTGTGTGAAGGCATCTGCCCACAAGCAGCCGTTCTCAATTTTAGCATATCGTGCCATTCTTCACAGAGAAACCACATTTCCTATTCAACACTCCCTGCGGAGGAGCTACAGCATTGGCAGATATCTCAGTGTTTTAGCTAGCTGACATAACAAAAACATTTTTTTGCTGCATTTATTTTTTTGAGTGGGAACAGAAGTCCAGTGAACATGAACCTATCTTAAGAGGCAAATCTTGAACTTGCATATGAAGAGAATTTCCTTTTTCACATCCTGCTCAGTTCTCCGCATGCTCTCTCTTCTCATGAGAGGCAAAAACCAACAGCATGAAACACTAGTGTGAAAAACTAGATCATGCAAGGCCATGAGCCCTCCATCCCCTGAAAGGCCCAAGCATGATAAGTCTTCTTCACTGCTCAACTTCTTCTGGCTTCTGACCGTGCAAGTTCTGGAGGCGTTCAGACATACAGCCAGCCAGTTGCACAGTCTGAGATTGCGATGTAGCAGGTCTCACAAAACACTCTCTTCCTCTCATCGCATACAGCGTTTTGCCGTGAAAATAAACCTAGTCTGATAGCCAAAATGGGCAATGTTAACACCTGGACAACAAGCAGGCTATTGCACAAAACCCAGGTCATTGCACAAAACCCACTCCTACCAGAAAGAGACAGTGATTCATGTCTGCTGTGGAATGAACAATACTTGCATGAAACATCTTGAGAAGGTAATTCGAGGACTTTTCTTGCTTTCTTTAAACAAAAGTAAGAAGTGGAATGCACTTTCAATGATATTTTAAATGTGATTTTTATCTATATATGTAATATATTCGTTTTTCTTTGCTTCGAACAGATAAAGAGATTTAGAAAATCAATAGCCTTAATACCAGTGTTAAAAACAAGCCCCAACTTTTTAATACAATTTAACACCTCTGACATGTACAGACTGCACGATACGATACAAAGCAAACCCTTTAAAGCCATGGGTTAGGGCCTACTGCGATTACGTGGATAAAAAATGTGTATCATAACATTAAACACCTACTAGACATACAAAGATAGCACAGATCAAATTAACTCGTTGTTTAGATCTGCAACAGTTAATCTTCCTAGCTGATTTAATTAGTTATGAGTCAAACAACACAACAACACTTGCACTGGGAAAAGACCTAGATTCTCTTGTTTTCAGGAAGTATCAGACATCGTTTTATTCAAAAATCTACATAGAATTTCAGGGATAATCAATCAAGTCTTATCTAATAACAACTAACGTAGCTTAATTTTAACAAGGTTTTGCTAGATTACTACCACTGAAAATCCAGAAAACTTTTTTTTTTTCTAAATTAAAGCAGAAAAAACACCAAAATGGAGAGCTAGTGGGACCATTTAACACACATGTGCAGTTACTCAAAATCAGAAAGCTGCTCAGATATGAAACTCACTGCACTGGACAAAAGTTACTGTAGTTGAAAAGAACTGGCACAGTAATATCCAGTGGTGGCTGAGAAACTACAGGAAAATTGCCTTCTGTAGAAACAGTCCCTTCCAATGACATTATTATAGGGCTGTGCCTTTGAATATTTTAAATATATTTCTGCCTTTAAACCAATAGGTAGATTTCACTGTATGTGACTCAGTTCTCCTTTTTCTCCTTACAAATCACCATCCTTGCCAGCAATGATTTCTCATCAGCTCATAAAAAATACATAAAACCCTGCTTCTCATATTAACTCTTGGAATTCAATCCTTTGTGCTGCCAGAATTTTTTGGAAAACAAATGAGAAACATATCTTACAGGTCATATCTGACCTCACACCAGATTTAGGCTTTGTACCGTAGTAAGCTCATGAACGACTTGCGATGTCCAAGGGCACAAACTCAGGTCTTCATCCATCTCATTCCGACTTGCACAAATTATGGACACATTATGCAACTGAATAGTGTTTGCACAGCGTATTCACTATATTATTTCAGGTGACAAAGAACACATAATGTATCAAACGTATCAGATCTACCCGATACATTTTTTGAGCATATGTGGGAATATAACTTCTGTTTTTAAACTCAGGTATTTACACTCTTATAATCCCAAAGACTACTGAAAATTAGCTGATACAAATAGAGCTGTATATATGTTCATGCTGTGCTGGTACATATAAAGCACTAGAAATGATACTTGCAGATAAATTAATATTTAATGTGGTTTTGCCATTCTGCTCAGTAACCAGAAAACATTTGAAAGAAAAAGTGAGACAATTACTGCATTTTCCCACCCTTCTTGTGACTCACTTTTAGAATCATAGAATGGTTTGGGTTGGAAGGGACCTCAAAGATCATCTAGTTCCAACCCCCTGCATTCATTTATCACCAACTGTGGGGAAAGACCTTTTTCTCAAGACACTGTGATGCCTCAAGGTCCTTGTAAGCGTGATGGAAGCTTTCGATACTGCACATGCACATACAGTGTAGGTGCAGTAAATCCAGTGACATTGGATAACGTCCTGCATTATTCTTTGGATGTGGTGCGTGTGCCCAGAGCAGCTGAGCAGCGTGCACAGGGAGGGTGTCACTGCCAACCACACATAACATACGTGCTGTGACTATGGTAGCCTCTTCAAGGTCATGCGATAAAGGGTGACAGAACTGTAGCCACTTTCTAGGAGGCAGAGGGCACAAGTGAACATGACCTGTCACGCAGTCCCTGACTCCATGTTTCAGTTCTTCTCTGCTCCTGCATGTGTGATCTCAGCTAACCCTTCAACGAAGAGCTTAATAGCTTCTGGTATCTTCTGAGCAGCTGAGACCAGTGCCTGCAGCTGCACAGCCCAAACATTGCAGAGCAGGCAGGACTGACGCAGGTCAGAAAAGATGACGTTCCAAAGGAAATCTTCCCGATCTTCACCCATTTATTTTGTATTTCATAAATATAAACATCAATTCCCTGAGTGAAAAAAATATTTTCCCGAAAACAATATTACAGTCCATTTTCTCAACTGGTGGCTAAGGCACAGCAGAAGTTGCTCTGTAGTTCGCATCACTTGGTATTAATGAACTGAGGCAGTGTGGTAAATGCCCTACCCAGTGAATTACTGGCACTGTATTGTTGCAGACCATCAGGAATGATCAGTAAGGTCTATTTGAGATAGGCTGTGGACATAGTAGGAGCCTATGAAAAAGAGGACGACTGCATGCAATTACTCTTCCTAGCTTATGCTAAGGAGGGAAAAAAAATCATAAACAAATATTCTTTCCAGGCTTCCCTCCTTCAGCTGAAATTACCCACATATATCGTGGCTGAAGCTGACAAACTGTTTGTTACGTGGGTGAGATACAAATCTCTCATTTAATAAAACCGGTGCAAAGAAAGGATGAAATTCAAGAAGAACAAAAAGCAAAATATAAAGGTCTTTAACAGCAATAGACTTTTGAGAGTAACAGTACTATAATAAAGTTTCCAAAGTTTTCACATTATTAAGGAACTTTGAGAGGAGAAAAAGATGACTCATCGAGATGCTCTCCCATGCCACACAACAGATTATCCATCATCTTCTTTCTCATTTTCATGAAAGCAAATCCACGTTTATAGTGTAATTGTTCTGAATAGCAGGGAAGGCTTCAACTCAGCAAGAGAAGTGCGCTCTCCATATTTTGTTTTTTTGTACTAACAACCTCATGATGGTGGGGTTTGTTTTTAAGGAGTATCACATGATGACAGGTTTTCCTGGGATAAAAGAACAAGTGTCTTATTCTCATTTATTAAACATGACTATTTTCCTTTTCCCCAGTCTATGCAAAATACCATTATCAAAAAAAGAAAATCTAGGAAGAAACTCCAAACAAAACCCAGCAATGACTAAAACTGTCTTGATCTCTCTCCAGAGATCCTAGACAATGGAGACGGTCTGATAACGCAGTAGCTATGCTCTTTGTGGCAGCAGTGACAAAATTTACAGCAGCAATTAAACAGTGCTTGTTGAAAGTACTTCTGAAAGGCCCAAGACTTTTAAACTGACAGGCCCCCCAAGAGGACAATGATTTCTCACCCTGTATATCTTAGCGGCTGTGGCAGTCTATGCCAGCTGTCCCTAGGCATCAACCCCTTTTGGAAATCTTTGTCCAAGAGATGCATTGGCCAATGCTGTCAAGAACAGAAATCTGAAGTTAAGCAACAAAACTCCATCACAATCACAGAGCTTGTTTTCAGGGGTGATGGGAATCCATGCAGCTGATTACAAAGGAGGCAGGAATGAAAAACTCAAATTTCAGTTTAGATATCCAGGCCTAAAGAATGGTGGTGAATATAAATGAAGGTGTCTCCTGACAGAAACTACAGGAATAGGGTGGGAAAGGGCAGAGCTACTGTGGTCCAGCAACATGTAGTCCCAACAAAACTGGACAATTTCTGGATACAGTTTATTGCACAAATAACAGTAACCTCCCCAAGTTGATGCAATAATGTTTCCAATTTCGGGAAAGATGTTTGGAAAGCTTTCAAAGCATTCAAATATTTTGAATCTTTATTATTAATCTGAGATATGAATAAATCTAAATCATACTTGAGATTATATATTACATTTTAAAAATAATTGTCAATGGCTCTATTAAACTTTTTGATATTGTTACACTTAGCTACGAAAAATAATTTCAATGAATTTGTGCATTTTGTCTTTGCTTAAAACCAGATCCCTCCCAAATAATAGAGGATGGAATTCAATCTAGGAACAGCAACCTGTGGCATTTCACTACATATCCTTCTCCTAACTCTTCTTCTCTCTGTAGCAAGCTGAAGCTTTGCATTATATTCTGCAAATTGACAAACACAAATTACATTTAATAGCCTGCTAGTTTTGACTTTGAAAACAACTTGGTCATAGAATCACAGAATGGTTAGGGTTGGAAGGAACCTTAAAGATCATCCA